CCGAGGCTACGGGGTCCCGAGACTTGACTGTCTCGCTCATGAAATAAAGTGCTGCAATTGGGGGTGAGACCTTGGTCGCCACACCATGGTAATGGACTCCCAGAGGCTGTGCTTACGGCTTCCTTTTAAAAGAATGCTTTCTCTCCAAAGACAGCTTTTTTGCTTTTAGGAGCTTAAGTTGAACTTGGAGAATCTCACGCCGGGCAACGGCGCCACCACCAAGCCGCGCCTCCAGCCCCTGGGTTTCCTAGCTGCGGTGGCACCCGATGCCGTCCCGCCCGCAGAGCGGGAGCGCAATGCCGCGCGGTCCGGGTGCGGGGCGCACGTTCTCGGATCTCTGGAGTCCGCGTCACCGCATGCATGCGTGCACCCCCCACCCTCCTCCCAGGCGGACACCCGCAGAGCTGTGGCTGCGTCTGCAAAGCCAGGGTGAAACAGGTCGGCGGATCTGGCAGGGTGAATGCAGCTTCTCAAACTGGCCGCCCGCCGCACACCGAGCGCTGTTGCAAGGCTCTGTCCTCACCGCTAGGTGGTTGCCTACCGACTGAACACCGCCCTCAGAGAATAGAGCGTTGTGCTTCCCTTCGATAGCTCAGCTGGTAGAGCGGAGGACTGTAGAGTATATGACAGCCATCCTTAGGTCGCTGGTTCGATTCCGGCTCGAAGGAGTAGCCTACGTTTTGGGCTTTCAACCCTCGAAGTTAATCTCTAGTCCTTTGTTCAAAATCCGAATAGAGACCGTCCTTACTAGCAACCCCGCTCCTGAGAAAGGATACAATAGGTCTTGCTCGGTCTCTGATTATGTAGTGCTAATCACACCGTTACAACAAGGAAAAAGCGCACAACTTGGAATTTGGTTCCTGGCCGTTTTCATTGTTTACTTTTAGTTTCTAATTGAGCCTGCTTTGCTGTCCTATGTCCTAAGTCCAGACACCAAAGACTACAAGGTACAGACCCTCGTGGACACGCTTGTGTGCATGTTTTCAGTGTTCTATTGGCCCGCAGGACTCTGATTTGCAGAACAAAACCTGTAGAGGGCTGCGCTGATTGAGAAAGAAAGAAAGAAAGAAAGAAAGAAAGAAAGAGACGGTTATCAATGCATCCTGACAGCCATCGGAACGCCAAAATGTTTAGGATAGACAGATAGACTGCAAATAGCAGGACTGCATGTCGGCTCGTTGGTCTAGGGGTATGATTCTCGCTTTGGGTGCGAGAGGTCCCGGGTTCAAATCCCGGACGAGCCCTGCAATTTTACATTCTTTAGTAATTGGATATGGTTCACTTCTCTACAAACTTTCTCCAGTTACAACTATCCTACAGAAAGAGATGGTATCACAGGACTATGCAAATACTAAATTTGGGGGTTCCTGGAGCTTTCCCCGGGCAACCTCACAGGGTCCCCCTGTGTCATGGAGCGTCTGCGGCTTGTGTTCCTCGTAGAGGTCCTCCGGACATCTGCCAGTTTGGTTCCTGTGTAGAACTCACACTGGTTCCCTGCTAGGAAGGAGTCTGGGGTTACTTCTTTGAGTTCTGCAAGCAGGCCCAGCGGGGAGGGGCATCCTTGGAGAAATGGGGTGCGGTCCCAGCCACCGAGGCTGGAACGCCCACCCTCCGCTCCTCTGCACCCGGCCCCAGTCTGTTTGCGTGGCCAGGCAACGCCGACCTCACCCATATCCGCGACGAGATTCCGAAGGAAATTGCATTTCTACTATTCGGAATCCCACTAGGAAAAAAGGGTGAGAAATAAAGTCGCCGCCTCCAGTTCCGCGCCAGGTGGGTTTCTACTCCTGCTCCTCCATAGTTTGGCCAGGAGCGGTTTTGTCTGTGGAACTCCTTTCCAAGCAAGGGCAGTTGTGGGGGTCCTGGGAGACCACTTTTCGGGTCTGATTGATTTCGGAGCTGAGGTGTGGCAGGTATCAACTCTTGCCAGAGTTGGCAATACTCTTTCCACAGTTCCCTCTCCTCAGCTTGGCAGAGTCCGGCGTGGATGCCTTTGTCTAGAACCCAGACTCAGAGGGGACCACAGAATCTGCCAAGGGAGGAGTTCCAGGAACCCCGCCCGCGTTTGCTCAGATAAGGAAGATCTGAGGGTTCCTGGGTTGGCATCAGATTTGTGGAAAAGGCCTGTCAAGGTTGTGCAGGCATGACTTAACATTTGAGGGCTAGTGTTTTTCTTTTTCTATTTCCTGACCCCCGCGAGCCCTTAGCTCACCCTTAAGTGGGTTGTGTAACTTTTGGAGACAAGCGTCAGTAGCCTCCTCCATGCCTTGTCAGTGGGCGGTTGGGATTCTCTTGCTCTGAAGTGCCAGTGCAAATAGGAGCTACGTCCTTACACTGGGACATCTCCAGTGGTCCAGCAGGATCTTCCCTCTGTGACGGCAGTAATTTTTACAGTTAGTTCATACATGCAATCGCTAGAAACCTCAGTAGCCTTATCTATCTGAACAGCTCCTGGCCAACTCCCGAAAGCCCGGCAACTCTTGAAAGAGCTATTCAAAGAGCAGCGCACCACTCAGCGCTGGGCCAGCTTGCTAGTCACACCGGCTTTAATTCAAGAAACTCTTCGCTGATAAAAGGGGAAGTCAAATATTTGGGAGATTTGTGGAAATAATCAGTGTTGGTTTTCTTTAAATGATTTTTTAGTGTTGCTTTAAAAATCAATGATGTTTCTAGAAATCATTGCAATGGGATGTAAAAGTCATATTGTACATTAGAAAGTGTCTAATCACAGGAATGCCAAATGTTCCTTGGTCAATTAATGTCCGTTTCTTTGTTTCTCAATTTCCTTCCTCATCTGTAAAGTGAAGGTCAGAGAGATTGTCATAAGCAACCGCCTGTTGTCATCTTTAACACGATTTTGGATAATGTGGAGTTGAGCTGTAGTTTAACAGGGGTTGTTTAGAAAAAGCAGGCTAGCTATGGCCAGGGTCAGAGATAGGCCTGAAAGCATCATGAGTTAGTTCATCAGTGTCTCAGCTTTGTGGGGTGCAGAGCTCCCATGAGCTTCTGTCTCATCCTTATTCTCTCTGAATCCCATGGACTGTTTGTCTGAGGCATTATTAGTATGACTCCAATCATGGATCAGAAAGAGTCCTGATGCAGGCTGGTGAAACAGCTCTTGAGATTTTCCATTGTATCTGTATTTGAGCAGAGAGCAATCTCTGTAAACAGTTATTCTGAGAATAATTGGAAGCCAGGAATAGGCCAAAGCCCCGTGTGCTGGAAAGTGAATGTTTAATTTGTATCTTGTTTGGAGATTCAGGGAAGTCATCAGGAATTTGTTCCCAATCTCCCTCCCTCAACCATGGGTGAACCCACTTTCTCAAGCCCTAGTCCAGTGAGCTTTTCTCTTTTAGTTGTTGCTTCTGTCACTGATTAAGTGTTAAGTTAGCATTGTAAAGGAATTTACACAGTTCACTCATACCTTCCACACTTGATTCTTCAATGAGTCCTAAGGACAGAGTCAAATGTACATACTCCATATAAAGGGGGGAAATGTCCAAACACTACAATTCTTGGAAGGAGAATGGCATGACTCATTCAAAATTCAAAAACTTTATATCCTGTCCTGGAACTAACTCTATAGAAAAGCTTGGCCTCGAACTCAGCTCTCTGAGTTCCATCTGCCTCTGCCTCCTGAATGCTGGGATTAAAGGCATGCACCACCACTGCCCAGGTGGTTAAAACTTTTTAAGTGAATATTTTTTAAAATTGGCAGTTGTTTTATATGAGTTAAAATTACTGACAAAGATATAATATTCAGGCCCAGGGGTGTGGCTCAGTTGTAGTCTAAGCAGCGTGTCTGAGGTACTGGGTCTGAACCTTAGCAACACACACACACACACACACACACACACACACACACACACACACACACACACGTTCCTCGTTCATAGACTATAATTCTTTGAGCCTTAATAAAATACAAAATTTAAAAATACCCATTTCTGTTTCAATATGTGCCAACTTGAAAAAAAAAAAAAATTCCTGGCCTTTTGTCAAGGAAATGAGCAAGTTCTAAATCCTCCGAGCTGGCAGGTGAGGGGCCGGCCACTTCAGAGAAGGGCCTTGACTGCTGTGATGTCCCTTTGGTTACTCTGTGGCATTCTTACACAGTTCTGAAGAAAAGAGGCGGCTCTGTTTGGACAAGGTGGTGTGTGTGCTGTGGGTTAGGGTGAAGTGTCTGCTTTGCAGCTGTTTACCAGAAAGGGCCTCACTGATAGGTCAACTCTGGCTAAGGGAGTTGGCTGGTATGTCCCCTGGGGGCTGATGAGGCCATCCTGGTGTTGCAATACACTTGGCTGTTCTCCTCTAACAGATGAGTGGTTGATGATTCTAGAGCTCAGTTCTTCCACATCTGCTTAAAAAGTGATGTGTGATCATACATCAAATAGGTATGTTTGCACACTGAACATTCCGGTGCTTAGCTGGATATCAGTAGAGGTCTCACCTTGAAGGTCCCCGATACTATTGCTTCTCTGTCCTTCTGAAACACTTTACATTTTGTCATTTGGCAGAACAAAGTTTGGCACTTGTCACATGGAAACACTGGTCAGAAGTGTGCTTGTGCCTTCCTTCCAGAGACTGTAGTCCCTCAAGTCACCAATGCAGAGACAGAAGGCAGGCTAAGACCGCTTGCTGAGTCATCTAATCACAACCCCAGTCTCATTTCCTTTCAGCTCACAGTTGGGTTAGGAGTGCAGGGGGAAGGGAAAGGGACAGGGACAAAGGGGAACTTCAAGCAGGGCTGTGCCTCAACAAAACTGAAAAGTATGGAGGTTTGTCCTTTCCAGGTTCCCATGCCACCCATCCTCCTCAAGCTGTCAGGCCCTGTTCGTAGGAAGTGTGTCCCTCAGGGAGTGCATATTCTGGGCAGCTTCTGTTTGTTTATTTGTTTGTTTGTTTGTTTGAGACAGGTTTTCTCTGTGTAGCCCTGGCTGTCCTGGAACTTGCTCTGTAGATCAAACTGGCCTCAAACTCACGGAGATCGTCCTCCCTCTGCCTCCTAAGTGCTGGGATCAAAGGCATGCACTTTTTAAAAGAGGTTATTCTCCTAGAGATTTTACTCATCAGTCCCCAGAATAAGTATCAGCCAACTCCCTTAGCTCAGATTGCTTTACTTGCGATCAAGCTTTATTTAGTAACTGCTACCAAATCTTGTATCTCTGAACCTTTAAAGAGAAGCCCAGAGAGTTTGCATGGTTAGAGGCTCTCGGTCAGTTGATGAGGACTTAGGTGTCAGTCACTAAGAATGAAGAAATGAGTAACAAATATTCTTCTCTGGAAAGGTTCCACCTAATGGAGAGACAATGAGATTAACTAACTCTCAAAGGAAGGTTGACAGCCTCTTTCCTCAGTTAGACCAACCTGAAGTGAAGTCAGATCCATCCCACCCATTCTGTGGGAACTCTAGATGAGCCCAGTCTTGCCAGTGTTCCCAAGTCCAGGTGTGAGTGCGCCTGAGTCAGTGCCCTGAGGCTGCCTGCTTGCATCTTTCCTGCCTGAGCTTCCTGAAGGAGTTCTGTTCCTGCTACACAGAGGGACAGCCCTGCTGGAGTAGTCTGAAGATGCCACATGCTGTCTTCTTATTCCTGCTAGAACAAGTTAGTCACCTGATGCTCCTCCTCCCTCCTGGCACAAGTTTGGTTCTTGTGACCAGACTCACCTCAAAACATCCCCCCTCCCCCCACCCCCGACAGGGTTCTCATTTGAGGAGAAGCGTTTTCCCCCTTACCTCCACCTCTCTTCTCTCATTGTCAACCTGAAAGTGGTTTTGTTTTGTTTTTTCTACTGTTTTTTTTTTAAGAAATTAGTACATCTTAAATTATACACAAATATCTACACAGAATGATAGAGCAAAGTCTAGAAATTGATAAAGAGCTAAACTATTGTAATCTTGCCCTCCACAGACAATAATTGTATATAACAATTCTTTACATTTTATGTGTTTGTTTTCTGTATGTGGGTATTTTGCCTGTGTGTGTGTCTGTGTACCGGGCATTTGCAAGGCCTGGGAAGGCCAGAAGAAGGTATCATTATAGATGGTTGTGAGCCGCCATGTAGGTGCCAAGAGTTGAGCCTGGGTCCTCTGAAGAGCTGCCCGCGCCCGTAACCCCTGAGCCACCTGTCCAGCCCTGAAGATGAATATGTAACAATTCTAGTGAACCTCTTTAGTTCCTCCCTGTGTGCTTTCTGGGTGTTAGAAGTCTGACCTCATGGTTTATCTGCTGTTTAGTCTTGGTGTTCCCTCAAAAGCAGAACAGATGTACACAATACCTTCTTTACATAGTTTTGGTGATGGTTAGATACGGGCAATTGGTTTCGAAATTGCACTTTAAAGAACAGAAGGCTGGCAGTCAGGTTTTGTTTCCTGTGGATGGGTGAAGGGAGGATGAGCCCAGGAAATGCTGTAAAGGTATTTCTGCGACTTGAAGAGGTGGGAGCACAACTGCCTTACTGCTTCCTCTAGACTTCTTCCAAAGTGGTTCTTGGAGTTGACCTTGCATATGGCATATGAAGAGTGAAACCCCAGTCCTACTGTGAGCCAGGGCAAGGACCCTGCACATCGGGAAAGAGGTAGCTTTGGAACAAAAGGCCGTACCTAGCAAACATCGTCTCTGAGCAAACATCGTGTCTACCAGTTGGTTAATATATGACCCAGTCATGCCCAGGGAAAAGGTGAGTGACTCCTTGTTTGCCCACTATTAGTGTCCTTGATTTACATGTTTCTGCCAAAGTAGAGGTCCTTGGATATGTTCTCCCCACCCCCTCACATGAGCACTCTATATAACCAGACTGAAAGGAGCCACTGGCTTCACACTGCTGGACCCGGTCTCCAGGAGCAAACAAACAGAGGGTCTCATCTCCACAGGAGAAGAACTGGCCAACTGTTGTAAGTTTCTTCCTCCTGGGTCTATGTCTCTTTCTTTGTACTCTTCCTAGCCATTCATCTATTTTAATGAAACTAATTATCCCTCCTTAGGACTCTGGGCCCAAGCTCATACACTAAAACGAAAATGAGTTGGAGTCTAAATTTAAAATGAAATCAGGTTTCTTTTGGGATAGTTTGTATCTGGATGAAGATAAATTAATGGAATTGAGAGCAAGGAGATGGAGGTATAGGAGGGACTCCTCAATTGTGATAAAATCTCCCAAAGGCTTGGGAAACCATTTGCTGAAGGGCGTCTGAACTGTTGTGTTCCTTAACAAACATATAGCTTGGAAGGAAGAACAAGAAAACCCCAAACCATGAAGTATGCTTTCAGCACTGTTTCCTACACATTTCTTTCCTTAAAAAAAAAAAATTGTAGATGCTCTTTAAGAACAAAAAGGAATGTGTCCCAAGATCAAAAGATGGTAGGTTGGGGGAAGAAAGAAGGAACCATTCGAAGGAAGACTAGGCACCTGGCCTTATGGCTTCCCTCTGGAAGTGTTGCTGGGGATACATAATAAGTGAAGGTATAGCTGTGAAAGGTTCTCACCACACCGTCAACCTTGCTACATCTCTTGGGTGCAAAGTACTGCCAATGGAGAACAGCAATTCTTGTGAGGACTAGTCTACAGGAGAGGTGGAACATAACCTTCTGACAGAAATCTGAATGACAGTCGTGTGTTCAGTGTATGTGGCTAAGGGTTCAGCACCTTTGGTCTTGTCAGATTTACATCTGCACCCAAAATAACCCAGCTGTCTGTCACTTGTAGTCTCACAATAATACCTCACCTAGTGTTGGGGGAAATTTAGAGTTAAATATTCGAGTTAGACAGTTGCAAGTGTAGACATTGGTGTTTGTGGTGTGCTGCTGGGATTCGGTTTCTGGGTGTTTTAGAGAAATGAAGTTATAATAAGCCTGAGAACTGCATTAGGTGAGCTGGTAAAAAAAATCAATGTGCAATTTCTGCAAGTTAGAAACAAGTTAGCCCTTTACCTGTGGCCACATAAGCCTGAGTGCTTTCAAATTCTAAAAAGCAAATGTCTTTTTAGGAGGCAATACCCCTTGTAGTGTTTGTCTATTGATGATACATGGGCTTGGGTTACACAGACAACCTTCATGGAGGATGTGTTTCAGCGAGATCGGGCCAAGGTTGTCCCATCACCTCTTTCTTCCAGTTGGTACCTTGTACCACCAACAACTTTATATAAATTTGTCCTGTAATTCCAATGTTACTGAATTTTGCTAATGAAACTGGTAAAGGGTCTATTAGCTTAGTGAGAACCATAGACCCTCAGACTTTCAAAGCTAGAACCCCTCTCATTTATGGATGGTAAAGCATAGGCCTGAAGAAGAAATAGAAGTTAATCACCAAGGGGATTTTGAGAGTCTGCCGTGAAGCAAGCACTATGGTTCAAGGTAAAGAATAACAGTCCCACTCGGTTGTAGATTATACAGCATGAGGAAATATGGACAGGTAAATGGTTGTTTTCCTAAGATAGCACGGATAACCATGTGCTTGGAAACCTGAGAGCTGGCAAATATCTGCTTTGTGATATTCTATGCATTTAGATCTTCCACCTTATGGCTTTTGCTTTGGTGTCTTAACTACCTAAAACCTACCAAGGTTGCTTGCCAGTTCACATTCCCCACAGCCTGCACACCTACAAGGTCTTAAGCACAGGTTGGCACCTCCACAAGGGCCCACTGTCTTTACCAAATGGCAGCATCCCTATCCACTGCTGCCCCCTCGTGATGTTTTTCAAGTACTACCAGCTCTTGCTATTGTCTGTGTGTTTAGGTTGGCATGGATCTCACTAGGCAACCGAGGAAGCCCCAAACTTCCAGCGGTCCTACTTGCCTGTTCTATGATTGCAGGCATGCATCTTCCTAATTTCTGAAGAGAAATCACACCCCAAGATGACCCCAAGATAAACGTGAAGAGCTGGTGTCACACAGCCTGGCAGCTCTGCTGGAGCAGCCAGAGCATGTGAAGGCTGGTTGTTCTTCGGGGGTGGCTGTCCCTTCTACACTCAGGCACCATCTTTTCTCAATAAACAGCAAAACACACTCGAGTTTGAGTCTGTTACAGATTATAATCTACATACTTAATGGAAGTTCGTTATTTCAGTACTGTGAAATGACAAGAATTTGGTATTCTTTAGCCATATACTGAGTTTGTCTACGGTTATCATGAAACAGAGAGGGTGGGTTAGCATCAGTTCATTTCCCCGTCAATCACCCGTCTCCCACAGGCTCAGGAAGGCCTTAGGCCCCTGACCCCCTTGATTCCTGCTGTTCTCCCTTGCCCTGCAATGGGGAACAAATTGCATACAGGCTGAGTGCCAGAACTTTGCCTTTTTCACACACACATACATGGTAAAAGTAAAAGTGTTCAGACTTACACATGAGAGAAACACAAAATAAAATTAATGATTAACTTAATGCAGCTGAAAATGTACTACACTTTAGGGAAAAGAAAAGAATAAACCTTTTATCTGGGGCTGATCTTCTCTTTCAGTAACACATTTCTTCAGGCTGAAAGATGCAACATTCTTTGCATTTATTTATTTACAGGCAAGGTCTCCTATATCCCAGGCTGTCCTTGAACTGGATATAGAGCCAAAGATGGCCTTGAACTAACTACTTTTCTTCTTCTTCTTCCTTCTTCCTTCTTCCTTCTTCTTCTTCTTCTTCTTCTTCTTCTTCTTCTTCTTCTTCTTCTTCTTCTTCTTCTTCTTCTTCTTCTTCTGATTTATTTTATGTATACAGCATTCTGCCTGCATATATGCCTGCAGGCCAGAAGAGGGCCCCAGATTTCAGTACAGATGGTTGTGAGCCATGTGGTTTCTGGGAATTGAACTCACGAACTCTCTCCATCTGGCCTTGAGCTTCTGGTGCTCCTGCCTCCATCTCCCCAGAACTACATTAACTGGGCTTGATAGTTTTTTTTTTAATTATTATTAACATTGTGTCTTTTATTATAAATGTCTATAGTTTAGTAACACATAATTTTTACTTGATGGATGATAATTTTCAAGCAGGAGTAGATTTGTTTCTACAAAATGTTTCAGACGATCTCTTGGTTATACACTCGTAAGCACTGCTAGGAGAATACTGATGCTGCAGCACATTTGCATAATTGGTCCTGAGCACTGCTGCTGTCTTCACTCACTTCTCCACACCACACAGTTCCAACACGGTTAATACATTTCAAAGCAGAGGGTTTGACCGTTATGGTGGGATGCCTTGTCCCCAGGCTACCTTCATAGACAAGAGGATTTTGCTTCATGAAGTGGAGAACTAGCATTTGAAGAATGCATGACTAGACTTCTGCAGACTGAGCAGTGGATAGTATGAGAGACCAAACTTGAATGAGAAGACCTATGTCAGCTCCATTTTCTGTCTGATTACCTGCTTGTCCCAGGGTTTATTTTTTTATGAAGTAATATATTACTAATAGGCTTGGGAGTGTTTTCATATCCTTCTGGTACTTCAAGTTTCTTCATGGTATTCTGTAGATATTTGGGCAATGACAGGAATCACTAATACATATTACAGTAGAGTCTGAAAGATAAGCATCAATGAGCTGGTCCATTTTGGCTATACATTATCTCATTCCATCACTGAAGGGCATCTTGGGACATCCTTGTTAATAAAAAAAGAATACCTAAGGATGGGGAGTGGATACAGCTTATTATGTATGGAAGTAGCTTATTAAGCCATGGACCAGTTATGCTGTGATCCATGTGCATGGATCACAACTCTTAATCAAGAGTTTCAGACTAGCCTGAGCTACATAGAAAGACCCTGTATCAAGAAAAAAAAATTCCAAACTGTTGTTGTTGTTGCTAATTCCGGGGCATTCATTGCTCTCTAATATATTGGGGTATAAACCTACAGTGAGTTTGGTGGGGAAATGCACATTTGTGTATATGTTCCTCAGAAGCTGTCTACTATGTTTTCTGGGGCCTAAAACTTATTAGTTACTGGGATAGATAGTAGGGGATACTTATGTTTCCCCCTTCACAGCATGTCCTCAAGCCCAGATTTTTACTTACCGAATTATTTTCTCCTTATAGTGCTTTTTTAAAAAAGATTAATTTTTATTATCTTCAGTGTATACATGCATGCATGTCTGTGGGAAGGTATGTGTAAGAGAGTGTATGTACCCACAGAGGCCAGGAGCATTAGAGCCCCTAGAACTGGAGTTGCAGGTCGATGTGAGCTGCTGTTCAGTGTGAGATTTGGACCCAAACTCAGGTCACCTGCAAGAGCAGTATGCACTTTTAACTGCCGAGCCATCCCTGCTGCCCCATTATGAGGAGGGTTGTTGATTCTCGGAATGATCTTTACATTTCTCTCCAAAGACTGAAGGGCAAACTGCTTGCCACAAACACCTAGTGCCTCTCGGTTCTCAGAATTCCAAATTTCATTAGAAATAACATCTTTCAGAAGTCCATAAGAGGGTCAAGCTCCAGCAGAAGGCATTTTTGGTCCTAAGATATGTGTTTTGTGATGGATGCCTGTGGTGCAGGGTGAGCTGAGAGCTCTTGAGGGATGATGGCAGAGGTCATCTCTCTGTCCTTTTCAGGAAGATCTTACTGCATATCTTTTTTAAAAAAGACTTTATTTATTTATTATATATGCAACATTCTGCTTCCATGTATTTCTGCACACCAGAAGAGAGCACCAGATCTCATTATAGATGGTTGTGAGCCACCATGTGGTTGCTGGGAATTGAACTCAGGACCTCTGGAAGAACATCCGGTACTCTTAACCTCTGAGCCATCTCTCCAGCCCCTTACTGCATATCTTAAGTCCTTTGGCTTCCTGAAGAGATCTCAGTTTTGTTTTGTTATGTTTTGTTTTACCATGCTGTAAGATCATGTGCCTGTGTTAACCATATTACAACATAGAGGAGACTAGAAACTATTCTCTCGAATCATCCAAAGGGTTTCTGAAGTGAGACACTCTAAAGGGCAAGCCTGCATTCCCCTTTTGCTCTATAAGCTTTGCTTCCAAGCCCACTTCAAGTACTGCACCCTTGTTCCATTCTTCCTATGCACTGAGTAGTAACTCTGCCCTCTGGGAGACATAGCCTGCCCCACCTCACTCCAAGGTGATTTGCTCTCAACAGTTTTCCTCATCGGTGTGGAACTGAGTAGCCTGAGTTCCTGGAATCCCATCTTGGTGGCCTTGGGGTATTGGCTGTCCCTATGCTCATGATCCCCCAGAAGTCATTCCTCATGACTCTCATCTCCTATGTCACCATTTATTTCACCTCAGGAGGCCCCATTGCTTCCCCAGGATGCCACATTTCTATTCTATTCTTCCCCTCTACCCCCAAAACAGAGTCTTCTATGTTGCCTAAGTTAGTGTGGAACTCCAGAGCTCAAGGATTCTCCTGCCTCAGGTTCTCAAGTAGCTGGGAGTTAGAGACATACCACTACACCAGGCCTTAGCCTGTCTTAAAGGTCTTTATGGCCCAGGATCTAGCACAGTTCCTGGGACCAATAGGGAGTTGAGTAATGTTTGCTTTCAAGTTAAGTAATATGTGACTAAGAATATAAATAGTTTGTAATTGTGCTATGACTGATGGTGATCCTAAAAGTTAGAGGAAGATGCCTGGGTCATGGAGTTAATTAGAAAGGCCAAAGCAAAGATGGAATTAGATGACTGAGGACAACTGATTTGTTATGTATCAGAGAGAAAAGTCTCCACCCTTTTAGCCTAAGTTAGAATGTTGTTCCATGGCCCTATTGTTCCTACTTTCTTGTTTTTTGGCAGGAATCTCTGTTGGAAGAGATGACAATGAGTCTGGGCCCCTTGTTGTTGGTCTTCATGCTGGGTCTGATTTCCATCCCACCAACTCTGTCCCAGAATGACCCCAGGTATATCACATTCCTGAACCAGCACTATGATGCCCATCCAACGGGTCGGGACGACAGATACTGTAACAGTATAATGAGAAGGCGAAAGCTGACCTCTCCCTGCAAAGAGCTCAACACCTTTATTCATGGCACCAAGGACAACATCAAGGCCATCTGTGAAACAAGTGGAACTCCTTACACAAATAACTTAAGAAAAAGCACCTCTCAATTCCAGATCACCATTTGCAGGCATAGTGGAGGGTCTCCCCGGCCTCCATGCCGGTACCGAGCCTCCAGAGGGTTCAGATACATCGTTATTGCCTGTGAAAATGGCTTACCTGTCCACTTAGACGAGTCCTTTTTCAGTTCATAGCCAGCAGGCCCCTGGCACAGAGTTGGCTTTTTATCCCCTCTTACCCCAGAACACTGATGGCAACATTCACTGACAGCAGCCAGAAAATAAACTATCCAAAACTTATGTCTCCTGATTATCAATGCACATAAATAAAGGTGTCTCTAAAGCCCTTAAGAATCCATCAGGAAGAGTCACTAGTTCCTAGTAAACTTAGCTTTTCCTATTTTTTCTACTCAGCTGCTCCCCTGGGGGAAGGGACAGGAACGGAGGTGTTTTTCCTTCTGCCAATCAATGGGAGGGTGGACTTCATCTTTCTGTGTTGGTGAGGATGATAACTGATTTACAGACAGGCCAGATGAGGATTTCCAAAAAAGCCAAGTTGTCTATTAAGTAATAGGTCACTAAAGGAGCCCTTAGGGAAAGGGCGTCAGGACTGAGAGCCAACACACCAAAAACATCCTCCCCACCCACTCCTCCCTTCTCTTACTTACACCCCTACACAAACCAGCATGAGACTGTCAGCACTGAGGGGGTAGTCACAACTTCATGCTGTCATCCTCAGAATCCTAATGAGTTCCCTTGATTTTTTTAGGGACCTCAACTCTGACCAAACCAGATTGATGGTTTCACACAGACAACAATTTCAAGACTAGTCTGTATGAAGCAGAGTTGGAGATTTTTATCAATTCTATTTTTAAAGGTTTATTTATTATGCATGCCTGCAGGCCAGAAGGAAACACCAGGTCTCATTGTAGATGGTTGTGAGCCAACTTGTGGTTGCTGAGAATTGAACTCAGCACCTCTGGAAGAGCATCCAGTGCTCCTAACCTCTGAACCACCTCTGCAGCCCCTATAAATGATAATTTTTAACATAGGCTGTCAACATAAAGGTGATGAGAGAGGGACTGAGAAGGGAGCCATACCCAAATGTGGGTATGGGCTTCCCAACAGAGAGTCATGTATTAATCAGTCATATGTACAATTCGGGTACCATCCTAAAAGGCTGCCAGAACATCCCTCCTTCTCCCTCTCTTTAAAAAATTACTAATTTTATTTTATGTATATTTTATTATAGGTATTTTGCCTATGTGTATGTATGGGAACCGCATGTGTGCCTGGTACCCAGGGAGGTCAGAAGGGTTGCTGGATTCCCTGGAGCTAGAGGTATAGACAGTCATGGCGTATGCTCGGATCCAAACCCAGGTCCTCTGCAAGAACAGTTCTTAACTGCTGAGCCATCTCAAGCCCCCTTTTCTCTGTCTTTTGATAAGTGAGATTATAGAGTCGCTCAGGAGATGCCTTTGATGGAATTACAATCTCCAAAGGTAGAATCACGAGCCACCAGGGTTGAAAAAGGGGTTTGGTACACATCTTCTCCTTGGGAATAAAGTTTCTTTTTGGGTTCTTGGAAAGTGTAAGTTTACGACTGGCAAGAGAGGAAGGTCTTATGCAGTTGTTAATTGTGATGAAATGCTTGCTTCCCATGCTGCCACGAAGGGGCTTCCCACACTGCCAAGCAGGGGCTCTGTTCCCTTCTTACAGCCCTTCCAATTTCCCATTTTTTTAAAAAGATTTTATTTCTTTATTATGTATACAACATTCTGCTTCCATGTATATCTGCACACCAGAAGAGGGCACCAGATCTCACTATAGATGGTTGTGAGCCACCATGTGGTTGCTTAGTTGCTCAATTTGGACAATCTGCAACTCTGTCAAAAACAACTTGGGGGAGGCGATACCTGAAAAGAGAAATGTGATGCACAGATTTAGCGGAAATTTTCATTCCTCAACAGCAGGGATGTTTATTTTGGAAACTTCCTTGTGAAGTTCATGGGGTACAATGAGAGAGATAGCATTCCCACACAGGACAAAGGAGGTTGTTTTTGTTTTTATTAGTTCAAGTTAGGGAACAAGCTTGTCTCACATGTAAGTCCCTTCTCCGTGTCCACCAAATCTTCTTGTGCTGGTCCTGGGCCCTTCCCCATGTGTCCAGGGCCAGAGTGTAACCCTTCACGTGGGATGGGCTCTCAAATTCCC